GCGCCGATCGTCCGCGCAGCCCTCCCCGCCCGGAGAGGGGGAGGGGGGAGCCCCGGACCTACCGCGCCGGCTGCCAAGCTTCAGTTCGGAAGCTAAGCTTCAACCAACACGCATAAAAACGCCGACCGGTGGGAGGGAGGGTTGCCAGGGAGCCTCCGGGGCTCACCCAGAAAATGGCGTTTCATTACATTCAACGCTGGTTTTCTGTGGGGAGCCCCTACGGCTCCCTGGAGCTTCATACCCAAAGAGAAGGAAAAGAAAGGGCTAACCCGGGAGGCGGCCGCCACAAACTCTGCAACGCAAAGCCGAGACAACAGGTCGCAACCTGCGACCCAAGGCAACAAGAAACGCACAGGAGCAGACGTGCATAAAGAATGGGCGGCCAAGAACCTGTGCGACCCCTCAAATCCCTGCGCCCGAATGAGCCCTAGACGTCGCCAACACAACAGTAAAAGCTGCAAACGTCTGAACAGCAGTGCAAAGACAGACCGCAGGCTGGAAGAATGAAAAACTCTGCGGACAACCTGGGAGACCCGAGCCCTGAAAACAGGGAACGAGGGGAACCGGATCAACCACAGCGTATCCCCAGACACAGTACGCAGGCAACGGCAAAAAGCACAACCGGACAACACAGGACGCACCCGCGGCCAAACCAATCAAGCATCAATAACCCAAGAAACCCTCTGGAAAGCAGCCTCTCGACCGTCGCCAGGACGGAGAAAGGCTGCACACATACAAATCTACCACCAGTACCAAAGAGCAGAAACCTGAACCAAAGGGGCTACCACAAACTGAGGAGAAGATAAGAAGGCACCGTGATCAAGGACCAGGACGGCTCAGGCGACGCATAAGCAGGCCGAAGGTGAAATATAAAATGGGCGATGCCTAGACCATGCCGACTCGAAGACGTCCACGGCCAGGTCCATACGTTTGACAGAGCCAACAAAACAAGTCGGCGACGACTGGCCAATCCGCGAAGAGAGGGATGAACCGAGACAGCTGTCCGCCAGGACGCAGGACACACCCCGGACACGAACCACACGGTTAGCCAAACCCCTGTGGTTCCGGCAAGAACCACCAAAGAACAGTCCGAACAGAGCTGAATGGTAGAGCACCGAGTGACCCAAACCCTCCGAAGCGCAAACCAGACAGCCACAAACTCCCGAATCGTACTGTGAGCCTGACGGACGGACAGACTCCACCAACCTCGGCCGACCTGGTGAGCACTGGTCACAAAGCCCCAGCCGAGAGATGACCCATCAGTGAACACATCGAGCGAAGGCTCAGGGAGGTGCCAAGGCACGGAACCCCGAAAACCCCAAAGAGGAAGCTGGTGACGCAGCACCAACACAAGATCCCTGGAGGAACGAACCCAACGAATGCAAGAGGCGGAAGGGGAGTCTCCGAAAGAACCAAATAGACACCGAAGCCAAACCCGACTCCGCGGGCAGACCAGCACGTCGAAGTTCAGACTCCAGCACAACTGCTCCAGCAACCGGGGACCCCCTCATGTACAGCCGAAGGCGGGACCACAGCCGCAGTAACATTTCTGGAGGGAAAGACAATGAGTGGCCCAATAGCCCTAAACAAGGCCCAGGTCCGATCCCGGGACGGAAACAGATGGAAAGGCCTCCAGATCACCAGGAAACCAAACCCGGCGATCTGGAAAGAACCACACCCCTGGCGAGCAGACAAGCAGACTGACTGGGAGCCCACACCAGCCAGTCGTCGAGGTAGGCCAAACACCAAATCTCAGACTCAGACAGGGCACTAAGACCCGGTAAAGATGAAAAAAAAAAAAAAAAAAAAAAAAAAAAAAAAATTACACACACACACACAAAGTGCCCATTACAAAACAGGGAAGGCAACAAAAGCAGCAAGCCTGAAGCCCCACCACCAACTGTGCAAGTCCCAGAAAACTGGAGAGGAACGTGCCCAGAAGTGACCTGGAGGTCCAGGGCCACCATCCAGGCACCCGGCCCCAACAGAAGCCGGACAGGAGACAACAGTCCTCCGAGGAGGGCATAGAATCCAGGGCGCAGACTGAAGAAGTCCAGAAGAACTGCAGATGCGAAAGGCCCATGACTGCAAAGAGCAGACAGGAACCCCAGAAGGATGGGGCAGATCGACCACGTCCAAAGCACCCACTAAGATGACATGACGAAGCGCAGGGAAAGAAGCCCACCCCGCCAGCTCTGAACCACCCCCCCTCCCCAAAGGGGAAGAAGCCGTCCACCGACTCCACCAGAGGCCGGAAGACAACCAAAAGCGCCCACCAACAGCGGGACCATGCGAGAATCAATAGAGCAAGCTGCTCCCCCAGCGCCCCGTCAACAGAGAAGGGAACAGAAACCCTTCCGAAAGAAAAAGTACACACACATATACACATTATGTATATACACATACATATACACAAACACACAAGATATGATACACACATGTGCGTATACACATGTGCACACATACACACACAGTGTACAGATGTACATGCGTACACACACACATACATTGTAAAAGAAAAGTACAAGTCGCCGACCAGTGAGCAGAGAGCACCACGCCTGCCAGGCAAAGAAGGCAGAAAACTGCATCAAAAGGCCCACCTTGACAGCAAAACCTCAAAGTCCCAGCACGACCACAACATGTTCCAAGACCCAAAAAGAAGTCTGCAAGCCAGGAAGATCCCGGAACCCTAGAAGGCAGAACCGGGTCACACAAGGAAACAAAGCCCCCTGAACCCACAAAGGGGGCCCAAGAGGAAGAAACCTCCGGAACAAAACCAAAGAACCCAAAGGAACCCAGAATCGAACCAGGGGAGCCCAAACCACCACATTTGCCGGCGGAGAACTCTACAGAAAGGCAAAGCACAGCCCCCAGACAGAACCCCCTGGGAAAACAGTCATAACAGACCGAAAACCGAGGGACAAGGTGCAGGAGCAAGCATACCAGCCAGGGGACACTAAGCCCAAACCCAAAGGCCCATACAAAACAGACAAAATGGAAAACACGGTGTAAAATCTGCACCCAAACGTTCCCAGAGGAACAGGCAACGGGCAGAAAACACCAGAAAAGCAAATAAATGACAACAGGAGAAGAAAAACCCCTGAAAAAAGTGAAAACACCCAAGACGCTCGCTCGCACACCCAATCGCATGTAAACAAACCGCAACGCTGCCCTGGTGCCCACGCCGGGAAACCAGCAGAGGAAAATGGCCGCCAGCAGGGGCAGTGACTGATGCCTAAAGATACAAAAACACGCCAGCAAAAGTGGGAAGCAAGCAGACTGGATGGGCGAAAAACGCCGCCCAACAGCAGAAAACCCAGGCAGGGGCAAACCGCCCCAGAACTGCTAGCAGGCATCCCCCACAGCCCTGGAAACCAACAACAGAGGCCCCGGGGCAGAGCCATCCTCCAGCAAGAAAGGGCCGCTGTTAAGACCCAGAAGCCTTGGCAGGAGGAACCGGCTCGAGAAACCTCCATCCCCCAACCCGAACAGGGCAGCCCCCGAAAACTGCCCAAGTCTCGGCCCCAACTAAACCCTGCCCCGACCCCGAAACCCACAGACAGTCCGGAGCCAGGAACAGGGAGGGAAAGGGGCGAACAGCACCTAACCAAACGGGGCGGCCTCGGGGCATCCGAGTGGGAAACCAACCTAGTATGTTGCAGCAACCTAACCAAGCTTGCAACACGGATGCCGCCTGTACTCTGAACAGTAATAACATCAGGAGAGTACTGGAGAACAAGCAGAGAATCTCTCGCAAGACTCCGGGTCAAGGTGTCAGTGACCCAACAGGCAGCATGACGGAGGTAAAAATGGCGACTGTCACCCGGAGACAAGGGCACAGCAACGAACGATCCCGTACAAGACGGGTTGGAACCCGGAAGACACATTCAATGGTCCCCCGAGCCCAGACAGGGGTTTCCAGGGCCCATAGGCTGACTGCTACGGGAAGCCCGGGCAAGGTGTTGCTAACCGGTTAAGAAACCCAAACATAACAAGAGGGTAGAGGATAGCACTGAAAACCCCTGCAACGTGTACAATCACGAGGGCATAGCAGAGGGCCGCCAAACACTTCCAGGGGAACTATAGCCACACTAGGCAGACCCCCACCAGGCATGAAAATAAAAACAAAAGAAAAACCCCGCAAAAGTACACCGTCTCCAAAGGCAACAGGAACCGGCTGCCGCTTAGGTGGCAGGCTGTGCAGCACCTTGACGCCCTAACCAGCACAATACCAATAACTACCCAGGGCCAAACAAGGGCCCCAGCTGGCCCCAAGGGAGAAGCAAATGCCGAGCAGCAAGAACCTCTACGTGAACGGTTCCCGAACGCCCCAGGGAAGATAACCCTGTTACGCAAGGGCAGTACTCACAGGGCGCTTAGGGAAGTCAGCCACTAAGCGCATGCAGCCCTGGCACTGATGAAGTACTCCTGGCCACCGCACAACACAACACACGGCAGTGAACGCCACACAAAGCAAACACGGCCTAGGAAACTGAGGCCAGAGAAGCGTCTATCCCGGTTGACATTAGCTTACGAACTGAAGCTTGGCAGCCGACATGGTAGGTCCAGGGCTCCCCCCTCCCTCTCTCGGGGCGGGGAGGGCTGCGCAGACGATTGGCGCGGCAGTAAAGTGTGATGTTTGCTTGTTTGCTTGTTTCCTTATGATTGTAAGGAGTTTCTACCTCTCTGTTCGTTTTTTTGTTTCAGTTTTTTACCATGTGGGGTTTGTTTTGTTATGCCTACCTTTCTGGGTGCGTAACCCGGGTCGATGGCAGATAAGGAAAACCCCAACCACAAAGGGGTTTTCCAGGGCCATTGCTCCCTGAAACCTCTCTGAAGGGGCCAGGTTCTGGTTCTGGTCCCTGGTAGGTCTGAACTCCTTAGCTAATGTCCCGGTCTAATATAACATATATTAGCCCGACAAGCTCCAGGGAGCCGTAGGGGCTCCCCACAGAAAATAATGCATATTAGTAGAAAGTTAAGTAATAGTCACTACTCACTTGCACTGTGTGGAAACCGAGAGGTAGTCGCTTTTCTTGTGAGAAAAGATGAACTTTTCCTTTCTCTCGTGCCATCCTGTAATAGGTGCAGTTACCATCACTCTTCTTACGGACAGCATAGACATTGCCAGAACTCGACAGGTCCCTCACTTCAGAGTTCACATGCCTTGATTTTTTAACCTGCCAAGGATCACAGTAGCTATTATTTTCATTTATTTACATGTTTACAGGAAGGCACAGTACATGCATTGGGGCTTGGTACAAATTTGTATATGAACATACAATATATTTATAGTAATACAGAACATCATCTGCATTTAACCACTGTGCTGCTTGGGCTCCATATATGGCACCCTGTGTGCAGGAAATGAATCCCCCTGACAACCACTGACACCACCTGCCTCCAGTACAACCGCTGACACCACCTGCCTCCAGTACAACCACTGACACCACCTGCCTCCAGTACAACCGCTGACACCACCTGCCTCCAGTACAACCACTGACACCACCTGCCTCCAGTACAACCACTGACACCACCTGCCTCCAGTACAACCACTGACACCACCTGCCTCCAGTACAACCGCTGACACCACCTGCCTCCAGTACAACCGCTGACACCACCTGCCTCCAGTACAACCACTGACACCACCTGCCTCCAGTACAACCAATGACACCACCTGCCTCCAGTACAACCACTGACCCCACCTTACAAGCACTGACCACTAGACTTCCCTAACAGCCACTGACACCAGCTGCATCCTCCGACAACCACTAACACCACCTGTCTTATATACATTCGTTAAGCTATAGTATATTTACAATATAGTACAGTGGAACCTCCGGTTACGAGCGTCCCTGTTTACGTGTTTTTTGGGTTACGAACCCGATTTGTTCAGAAAATTTGCATCGGGATGCGAGCATTAAATTGCATTGGGTTTCAAGTTTGTTGACATGCGTACGGGCCGACCTAGCATGTGGTGGCACGACGATCGCGCCTCAGTTTACCAGTGCCTTGCACCCAGTGACTATCACGCCTGAATTCTTCACAAGGACTTACAGTTTTTTGTTGGAATTTTGGCCATTTGAGCATAAAAGTTATTATATATCTTGCCATGGGTCCAAAGAAAGCCAGTAGTAAAGTTCAAGGCAAGAAATCACATGTGAAAATGACCAAAGAGGAAAAACAAGAGATCATTCGTAAGCATGAAAATGATACTTGTGTTGTTGAACTAGCTAGGCAGTACAACAAATCTTCAGGGAAGGAAGAGGAGGCAGTAGAGAATATCTCATCCTCATTAATTAAAAAAAAATGTGTGCAGTATGGAAAGGACTGCAAAGTTTTGCTGAAAAGAATCACCCAGATAAAGCTGTAGTAGGCCGTTGCATTGATCTTTTTAATGACAATGTGATGCCTCACTAGAGACAAATGTTGCAAAGAAGGGAAAATACAATCTTCAATGGAAGGTTTCCTTGTGAGAAAAGTGAGAAAATCAAGCAATGAGCCACAACAAGGAACTAGTGGTATGCAGGCAAAACGTGCTAGAGAGTGCACTTCAGAGAAATCTTCACTGCCTGATGTTATAATGGAAGGGGGACTCCCTTTCCAAACAGTAACACCTCTCCTCCTCCCCCTTCATCACCATCTTCCATACGCCAACAGCAGTCATTAGCAAGGGTAAGTAATAACTTGAACATACTTTTGTAATGTAGATTTGGATGAATTAGGTAGAAAATTTAGTTTGAAGTAAAGTTTTTGGGTAGTCAGGAACCGAATAATTCATTTCCCATTATGTCTTACGGGAAAATTTACTTCGGTTTACGAATTTTCGGGTTACAAGCTGTCTCCAGGATTGGATTAAATTCCTAAACCGAGGTACCCATGTATCGTAGCTTATTCCTTCGATATAGTGAGGCAGGGAAAGTGGTGCTGCCTTATTTTGGGAGGGTTGTTTTTGCAGCAAACATAGACCTAAACCTGAATTACACCTCTAAATTTTGAGACTTATGCGCCAGCATATAGGGTAATTTATTTAGTGATTATTAACCCTTAACATGCTAGGGGTATAATATCCTTTGTTCCCCACAGGCGCATGTAATTTTGAAAAAAAAAATCTTTTTTCTTCCTAACCTGTTAATTTGTGTTCACTGATCATGGGAAAATTAATAAAATAATCGTAAGTGGCATATATTGCCCGCTATAGGGCGGGGAAGTCTGGCAAAAAACAGGCGATGACTCAGCATGCATCCCAAGGCGGTCTGTTGATCGCCAGCTGTCAGGCCGGAGTTGCCACAAAGAGATAATTACCTAATTATTTCAATGTCTTTGATTGATTTTTCATAGTTTTCTTGCTGTAATATTATTCAATAGTTTGTAGTTTGATATATTTATATAATAAAATGAGTGAATCATCGCAGTACTCAAAAATATGGTGTGCATATTGTTAATTCAATTATGTTCATCAATCAGTGAACAAATACTTTGTCGGTTATTCCACTATATACACAGGTTATATATAAGTATCTGCATGTTTTGTTCACCATAACGAACCACTAAGTTACTACTATGAGTCAAAAAGTAACGAGGAGTGACCGCCGTGTACCAGCCAGCCACTCACGCCCTCCCTCAAGTCACCTGACTCACCCACATTCTCCTCCCACAATACTGTTTTTGCTTTTATTCACTATATACAGACGCTATATATAAGTATCTACATTCGTGTTCACCATAACGAACCACTAAGATGGTATGCTGAGTGGCAGTGGCAGCCAGTGGCAGCCACTCCCTCCTTCCCTCACCTCACCTGACTTCCCACCATACTGTTTTTGCTTTTATATACAGACGTTATATATAAGTATTTACATGTTTTGTTGACCATAACTGTACATCTTAGCTTGCATGGTGAGTAAAGGCACAAAGACGTAGGACCTCACACAGTCAGCTGATGGCTGCAGCCCTCAAGGCCAGACGCACTAATATTTCTCCTCCAACAATACTGTTTGTGGTGTTATTATGCTATATACACACACATTATATATAAATATCTACCTGTTTTATTCACCATACTTGTACAAGTAAACTGGTATGGTGCCCAAAGACCATCGTGGTAACCAGTAAACAACACCGTCGCCTGCTGTGAGCCGCCATTTTGGTGAGGAGCCCTCATCAAAATGGCGGCTCCCAACCTACTCCTCTTGCTGTTTATACCCTCTATACACACGTTATATATAAGTATCTACATTTGTATTCACCATAGCAAACCACTAAGTTGGTATGGTGAGTGTAGTCAATAAAAGGTGGCCACACACAGTCAGAAGACATCGCCACCACCCTCTCTCCCACAGCATGATGCAGCTGCGTGCATCAGGCTTGGTAGCTCACTCAATACTGAGGCCCCTAACACCCGGGAGTTTGGCCCATGATTTTTTTTTTAAATGGCGTCTGTTTACAAGAGCCCTGATGAAGGTGTGGTGAACCCCGTGTATCCGCGGGCCATTTAAATCTTGCATAGTACTCCAACACGTCACGCAGCTTAAGGGTTAACCAATATGTTTTTGGTTTTAACAAATGTCATAACATTAACTTAAGTAACTTTGGTAATTTATAACAAATACTATGAGATTTGAGTCACAGCATTTATATCGCAGACTGCGACTTGTTTGAGGAATATCTTGAGATGCCCATGATTGGAAGGTTGCTCTTGAAAGCTCCATTAATATATATATATTTTTGAGGCTGTGGACTATTTTACACAATGACTGATCAACTGCCCTGAAGCAATATTTAGCCATTGTGGAATACCAAACTTTATCCATTTAGACAGAGATACAGTGGAGCCTCGAGTGACAAGCGCCTCAATTACGAGCATTATGAATGACGAGAGCGCCGATCGCCGACAATTTGTCTCGATTGGCGAGTGCTGATTTGATTAACGAGAAAACCACATGGTGCGTTCCCGCTGCTGCTTACACATTCTCGGACGCTTCCAATGATGCAAATAAATGTTTTTTATAATAATAATAATAATAATAATAATAATAATTTTTATTTAGGCAAAGGTACATACATAAAGAGATTTTACAAAGTTTGTTGGCTTTATAGATAAGAGCTAGTACATACAATGCCTAAAGCCACTATTACGCAAAGCGTTTCGGGCAGGAAAAAACACTACTGACTAAAGCTTAAAACTAATGGGTAAAAAGAAAAAAATGCGTTGAGTACAAATAAAAATAGAGGTAAAAGAGGGGGGAACATTGTTGAAAAAACAGCACAAATACAATTACAAATTATTACAGAAAATTACATTAAAACAGCGTTGAATTGTAAAACAAAAAAAACAAAAAACATACATGGGTTGACAATAGAGGGGTAAGGTAGGTTACAGGGAATTTATTAGGTATAGCTTCGTTTTTATTTATTTTTTGTCCCCTAACTCCCCTTGCCACTTCGGGGGGGTATAGGGTTTTTATGTAGCTTCGGAGCCCGATCCCCCCAGCCACAGGGCATGGCGAGACGGACCCCTAAGCATACCTAATACCCTAACACACACAAACTAAAATAAACATATATGGCAGATCTCATCACACCCACAAGAGTTAAGATGATACTAATAATACATAATAATAACCTGAAAATAAACAAAAACATTAATGGAAAATTCTTTTGTAGTTGGTTTTTTCTATATGGGACACAGCACACATAGCTCCCGCAGTAGCTCCCGCAGTACGCATAGCTCCCGCAGTACGCAGTACAGCCACTAGTACGCGTAGCGTTTCGGGCAGGTCCCTGGAATACGATCCCCTGCCGCGAAGAATCGTTTTTTCATCCAAGTACACATTTAACTGTTGCGTTAAACAGAGGCCACAGTTAAGGAATTGCGCCCAGTAAATCCTCCCCGGCCAGGATACGAACCCATGACATAGCGCTCGCGGAACGCCAGGCGAGTGTCTTACCACTACACCACGGAGACTGATAAATTTTAACGGAGTACTTAAATTTTAAACTGGTTGAGAGAGGTACTGTCTTTAACATGGTTGGGAAGGTCATTCCACATCCTGGGCCCCTTGATTTGTAGAGCATTTCTGGTTTGATTAAGTCGTACTCTAGGAATATCAAAACTGTATTTATTTCTGGTGTGGTGCTCATGGGTTCTGTTACAACCTTCTATGAAGCTTTTGAGATC